AACAACTGGTCAAAGACCCGTATCAAGAAGAAAATAGTGCACAATACACTTTGATTTCCCTGAGAAGATATGGCATCGTTCAATGATTTTTTTTAAATATCATATTACTCCTGTTTTCACCCCTGGAATCACAAATTTGGAAAATCACGCGCTCACCTTTCACCGTCTCGTTCCCGTTCCTCCATCAAGGCGGATAGTCGCTCGTCGAGTTGGGCATTTTCGATGCATTTGGCCGAATAGGCTGCTGACAGGTTTGTCAGTTCCTCTCGCATTTGCTCCAACATTGCACTGAAACTGTAAAAACCGTTGTGAATAAGGGTCTATTGTGGCCAACTGTCACGTCAATGAAAGGATGTAAGAGGGGAAATGTTTCCAGCCTTGCAGTATTGCGTGCCCCAGTCACCGTTGAGCCCACACCGGCGCTATGAAGTGGGAAACTCATTGAATGAGCAGGAAACTTCTCATAGTCATAGATCTGAGAGGAAAAGCGACGCTTGGTAGCTAAACATGACCCGCTCATGGTCCTCAGTAGCACCTTACTTTAGTCCTTTGGTCTCCGAAAAGCTGGGATCTGATCTGAACAACACTCCTCAATCTCCTTGTTGAGTGACATCCAGACGACCAGCTGGGTCGATTCTTATTCCTACGATTGAACTACTTCCACAATACAAGTCAAGTTATATGAAAATAACCCGTCGTCTCGAGTTCAGGACATAGCCCCACTTGATGGTACACCAAAAAGGGCAAGCGCGTGACGCTTTCAGAGAAAGTTTGTGGCGCTCCTGGCAATCGACGGTCGCAATAGCGTGGAGTTGTTTCGGTAAGTTGATGGGCCGAGAACGTCAGAGAACTGTGCGCTCTAGGAAATCGCTGTCTTCAGCTGCCAAGAGTGTCTGCAACCCGAGGAAGTGGCGGTCGTTTACACATTCCTCCGCCCTCCCGCCCCACGTTTTGGTGCTACTAATTTGACACGAGCCCGAAGTTAACCAGCTGAATCCATGCAAGGCTAGGTCACACAGCAGTATCGACAGCATTTCGTGGAGCAAGGGTAACCCTTTTAGTGCGAACTTGACAGGATAACCACTCATTATGTACGGTACTTACTTCTGTCGTGTCACATCGCGGTCTTTTTCTCCATTTGTCCGCTTCGATGTGGCCGCCTTCAATTCTTCTTCGTGAGCTCGACGAACCGCTTCTAATGCTAGTCTGAAAGTAAAAACCCATCAAATTACTGCGGCGGAACATGAACTATAAGAACTACTGGTTGGCTATTTGAAAAAATATAAGATCACAATGAGGGATCACGATTAGAGGTACTAGCACCAGGGACTATCACTGACTCGTACCTAGTCGCGGCTTTCTCCTCATCCAATTCCCGTTGGTGCTCTTTTCGGAGCTGTTCCATCTCCTCCTGAAATCCGTTCCGTTGTTCTTCTAGCACATCTTCAAATGACGCTTTGACAGTGGTAAGCGACTGATCGTTTCGTGTCTGAAAGAGAAGCACATTTTGAAATACCGTGGAAATTCAAGTCAAGCACTGAATACGCGCCAAAGGATGGATATTCCTATCTTGGACTTTCTAGCAACTGCTGCTCTTCATAGTTCAGCGTTTAGCTCTTTAGTAAGACCCCAGCAAGTAGGCATGCACATGAAGTAAATCAAGGCGCGCGTACAGGACCCCAGAAATTCAAAACCTGCCCTTTCCAGTAAAGCTTCTCACCCCCAAGGGACCAGTATTAACAGCGTTTTTTAGAAGCATAGATCAGCGGGTTGGACACAGACTGCTGACCTGCAATTACTGCCTAGAGTGCAGCACATCTAAACACCCTTGTGAAGCTCACTGGGAGCTGATTACGCGGCGCATCCAAAGCAGCCTGTCAACGCGTTATTGTTTTCTGCTTAGGTATCAAAATCAACATGCTTGAAGGAAAGCGACGTGATAAATACCCAGGACGTGTAGACTTAATACGCCCAGCAGAAGAGATTTCGGCGTCCTTAAGCAGGCGCCTTTTCCAAGGAAGGTACCCCTATAGCGCCTCATCAAGCTGTAACACACCGACCCGACGCCCACCGCGCCCGCCCGCCCACAAATGTCCGATATGCTGATGCTCGTATCGCTTCATTTGCGAAGTACAATATGAAGCGAAGTTATTGATATGAAGCGGCTGCGGGGCAGTTCGGCGACGGGGGGGGGAGATGGCATTTTGCACTTTCGTTGCTTCACTAGTTCCGGTTTACAAGTCTCACTCTGGTGAAACCTGTGAACTCTTGTGGAGCTGGAGCAAGCTCGTCAAGCCATCATGGTAAAACCTGTTAACTCGAGAACTGTCTAGATGGGTCGACACGTCGATGGGAAGTATCAAAAGTGCAAAATGCCCCCCCCATCGCCGAACTGCGCCGCGGCTGCGTGCTGCATGGATATATATGAACGTACATGCAGAAGTATCTACCGTAGCGGTTATAGGCACAATGCCCACCGAAAACCCTTCCGAATTTGCTTCTTGAGTCGTAGAAAAGAGGCGAAAAGCCTTCTACAAGGTTTTGGACAGTTTAACTTCGCCTTTTCGCCATTTTTCCACTTTGCAGCACCCCTGCTACCATTCTAGACCGAGTATTGAATTATTATGCCTTACGCCTTCAAAAGCGATCAAGTCAAACATTGAAAAACCACCATTCCAAGGAGGCATCGCGTTTATTTGAACGGGTTTTCTTTCTCCCATCAGTCGAAAAAGTCACTAATTTCTGGCCTTTTCCACGTTTCGCCAATATCATAAACAGCTACAATGCAATACATACCGTAATCTGCACGAGTTCTTCTTGCAATTTTCGTCGCCGCGCCTCTTCATGTTCGATGCGTTCTCGCATTCCTTTCAGCTGATGCTCATAGTGATGGCGGATAGTTTCTAACTCGGATTGGTGGGTATTCTGAAAACATTTCTAGAGAATAGCAAGATAAAGGGTAGCATAGTAGTCAGTGAGGACGTTAAATGTATACCCTTAGTAAAATGCGCTGCAACATTCGCCACTGTGAAGTCGCGGGAGATCTTTCCTGGGGATTATACAATGACTGGGAAAGGTTAGATTACAGCCTGGGGACCGGCATCAGCCCAATGTCTAATCAATTTTGTTCACATGAGAGGAGCACAGGTGCCTGCGGAAGCCCATTTTGATTGCAGACAGATTGAGGCCAGCGTGACTAGCTGTTTTTAGCAGTATTCCTAATTCTGTCACTTTTGATGAATCGCGTGTACCCGCCGACGACCACAACTTCCTTGCGAATCGAGCCGACCGAACCGACCGCCCTGCAGGGAATCATGCCCTTCACGAGATGTCCCCAGAACTTTAGTGCCCTAATCTTCGAGGTAGTGAGGCAACCCGGGAAATTCACATACCTGTATAGCAGTCATCTCAGCTTGCCATTCGCTGTCTTGCTTTGTGTCCACTTCTTCGTCATCGTCAAAATAGTCTGATTCACCTTCTAACGCTTCGGTCATCGTCCACGAGTCCGACTGCGACGGGATTACGATACCGCGTGAGATCTGCAAATGCACAAAAATTAAAAGACTTGGACAATCTCGACATTTTGTATGGGAATACTATCTCGATCAAGCGAGATAGTACTCCCATCCAAAATGCTAATTGAAAAAGTGACTTTACAATAAAAAAGTATATAAAAAATGATAGAAAAATGGTATTGAGAATGGTGACAGGGAAAAGGGTAGTGATATGGACTAGGAAATTCTTGTCAGAGCGTTGCACATAAACTAGCAAAGTGTTTCCATGCTGTCAGCTACGCAAACTGCAGCTTGTCAATCAAGTCAATTAGATCCCGGTGCGAATGACGCGCACGTGACATCACTTGTAACCTCGTGCCACCGTAATCTCCTGAACTTTACAATCAAGATCCAATCCGGATACGCCAATTGCTGGCGGTAGTCATTACTGATGTATATGGGGATTCACGGTGGAGGTATTGTCCCCAAGAAAAAAAAGCCGATAATTGCATGAGGCGAACACCAACATGATCATAGAGGTACAGTAGTTGTATCGAGAATCTTCTGGATTTCTCCAGATCGCCTCATTGTATCATCGCTACTAGCATCTGTTTCAATTCCTCGATGTCTTCGCTAACACTCAGACGTTGATCGAGGATCTGCGACTTGGTGATATTTGCAATTGCCGCCAATTGTACTCGCAACATAGTGATGAGACGCGGTTGCAACGCAGCCACGCTGAAATCAATCGATCATTTCATCAAACTGGCCATCCATTTCCAGCACACTTTCCGAAGCCACGTGACATCTCCCACATCAGTAGAACCTTTGAAGAAGCGGGTACACTTGAAGAAACGGCAAAAAACCTATAGGCCAGTGAATTAGAATTATTGAGGGGACTGATTGCGTGTTCGCAGGATGGGTGGAAGTGGGGTGTCGATTGAAAGCGTCAATATCTTCAAAACCTTTTTCTACTTTTTCTATTCGCTCAGGATTTCGGAACAAGGCAGTCGGTAGGGTCATAATGACCGGCAGACGATTCCTCCTTTCACCACATCCTCTGCAGACGAAGAATTTTTATCCATCTGACGTGCCGCCCTCGCCCATTTTCTCGTACCCATTGCTTCTTACCATTAGATATTTCAGTCAATCAAACGAGGTAGAGAGCAGGTGAAGATGAGCTCCTATCTCAAGGACAGCTAAAAACCTTAAATCTTCCCAAAAAATTCTAATTCTAGAGTCCCCCTACGAAAACATCGAATGCCACCCTAGGTTTTCAATGTAAATATGGTCTATTCGTTAGAGATGTCACCATGTATTTGCACGGCTTCAGAATCCAGGACTGAGTCGATATTCTACACTCATGCAAGCCCTTGAAGGATTAGCCGGCACCCGTCCTCCCATCTCAGGCACGTCTTGCCGTTGGGGGAAAATCTTGCAAAATACGACGCCCACTCGAAGGTCTTCTTCTGGTACGGCCTTCCCTACCTCTTCCTTCCACTCCTTACCGCTTACTTCCGTTTTCCCGAGAAATTCTCCAGTTTCTGCTAGAAAATGTTACTACCCTTCTTTGCCTCACAAGGTTTTTACGTATACTTAATTAGGCATAACGTTTCGACTGCTTTGTCGTCTTCAGAGGCCAACGACTCAACCGACAAAGGCCCCGCAAACGGTGGAGCCGTTGGCCTCTAAAGACGACGAAAGTCGAAACGTTAGGGCTAATTAATAAATGCTCTGCCTATCAACCTCGTGAGGCAGAAGAAATTAACCTTACAACTAACATGCCGAGGTTGCAAGAAGAGAGAAGCTGGAGAATCTCCAGTTTTTCTTTCCAAAAATTTGCCGTCGGCGGGTGAGGGGGGGGGGGCTGAGTTCGCCATCTGACATAATTACTCAGTTCAACTGTCAAGGTAGTTGAATAGGACTTTGACTGCGCCGGCAATCGCGGTGGGGTTATATAGCGCCAGCGTGAAAAACCAAGAAAAGTTACCACCGAAAACATTTTCCTCGAAAGCAAATACTACCCTCCTCCCTCAGCCGACCCTTCGCTGCGATTCCACAAACTGTTTCGCGTGCACCAATTCAAGTTTCAACTACAGGGTGACTACACTATGGTTGAATACTCGCTTCGAATGCTCGTATCACTCAACTCGGATTGAGACACAGTGTAAGCGCGTGAGCCCACGCGCCAAAATGCACTCTCAAGGCCGTACCGAGCGCCAGGAAAAAATACTCCCAAAGTCCAGCCCTAAGGTAATTGTCTACCTCGTAGTCCCTTTAGCTCACGTGCAGGACACCAAGTGAAGAAAATACTGAGGAACATTTATCAATTTCTTCTCCAAGAAGAAATTTATCTTGATCAATAGTCTCAGAGCCCAACTATTAATCTATCAACAGTAAATAATTGTTGAAGAAACTGAAAAGTCAACATACCGTTGCTCATAGTCCTGATTGACGAGCTGCGATCGGAGTTCCTCCATCTCCTCCTGCTTTTTGCGAACATCTTGCTCGGCAACTGCTAACGATTTTCGAAGGGCAGTTAGTGAGCTCGACTGAAATAACTTTATAGAAATTTCTAAGAAAATAAATAAAAATCCAATAGAATCGATTAAGGGCTAACCTCAGGTAGCATTTCCCGGAACATGAGCGTAAGGGGCAGATTAACGGACCTAATCGATCAGCACAGGTATCGAGATAATTGGCAGGAACCACTTTGCGAGAATAGCAACTAGCCGTCTCGCGACCAGCCGAGTCCGGATAGAGCGGAGTAGCCGGCGCGAGCCAGCCTTGCCTTTTTTGGGCTTCAAAATGGAGTGCTCGAAAAGCACGCCCAAATCGATACGAGTTGTCATTAAGCGGGGCATTAGAGCTGCCCTCTTCCAGTTAGTTTTTGAGTCCATTGGAAAATCGATGTTACCGTGGTAATGTTGGGGCCCTCATGGTCTATTCCGATCCTCAGTTTCGGGGAAAGTAATTTTCTCTGGTTGTCCTCTTTTCCTGCTCGACAGTGCTTTACCACTCAATCGACAAAAATGATTATTCATTACCTCGCTGCTGTTGTAGAGATAGCGCAGTCGTTCATTTTCAGTTTTCGAATCTCCCAGTCGAACGGACGTCTCACGCAGTTGATCGCGCAGATTCTGTACCTGAAACCGGAAATCACTGGTAAAAAACGCCGACAGTTTTTTTGCACTGCTTCCTTCAAAGCAAAAAAAATGACCGCGGCTGAAAAAAAAACTGGCATCAAGGCAAGTATTCGTGACATACGTTTTTCGATCTGTCAACGTTATCGGTTTTATTCTTTGAATGAGATTTTGAAATGCAGAACAGCGAAGTTTTTGCAACTTGGTACCTTGTACTGGTTCTGTTTATTCTTTTGGAGACCTCTCAGAAAACACTGGTCAAAAGGCCGGCACAGTTCGGCTTGGTTGGGGCACCGAATGGTACTCAGTAAAGCCTGTAAAAGCTACCACAAGCAGACCTGTTAACTCCTGTTGCTGAAATTGCTCATTTGTGCGATTTTTTTAGCCCCACAATGAGTTTACTATGTCCTACCATAGTGCAGACCTTACTTTAACAGTACTAATAAAAACAAAACAAGCGTGAAAGTGCACGGATTGCCCTCCAAGCCGAACAGCGCCAAATCGCCTGTTCTCAAAAATCCACAACAGGCTAAATTTACAGACGTGCGCGAATTTTCTGCTGTTCATAGGATTAGTGGTACCCTTGAAACCTAAATAACTCCCTTATAATTAGAAAAAGAATCCCAAAACAAGCCAGCTTTTCCACGAAATCGTTCACCTTACACTTTCGAGATTACTGGAACTCCAAAAAGTAGGGGAAGTTGAGCACGCATAGAAGAAACTGCTATGGCTTATCGTATAGCTGACACCACTCGGACCAGGGTCATATCCTTTACATGGGCGGTGCCAGAGGCTGCCTATTATCTGCGACGAGTAGGCGGTCAGAAGTGTATGACATGACTCCAACTGGTTGTCACCACGGTATCAGCGGCCTTTTCTGGTCGACGTCTGTTAGGGAACTTCACGGAAACTGCAAACCCTCCACCCCCTCCTCGCCGAATTCTCCATCTGGAACGACTCCCCCCTACCTTTCCGCATCCATCCTACTACCATCATTGCCTAAGTGTCTCAACTTCTATTTCAATTCTCCCAACATTCCAAAAAAATTTTTCCCCGAGAATACTCTCAAAGCAAGGATACGACCCCCTCGAGACGATAAGCAGGTACGACTCTCCCCTCCCCCCCCCCCCGATTTCCTCCCCTGGTAGTATTCTGACCCCCTTTCCCACTTCCTACATGTCATGTTTCGACGTTTTTCCAACTTCTACCTATTTTCCCTTTTCCAAAAAATTCTAGTTTTCCTTCAAAATTTTCTCACAGCCAGATGAAACCCTTCCCTCTCAAAGCTACAAGGAACCACGACCCCCTACCCCTCTCTACAACGAGAGCCTCTCAATCTTTCAAAGCGACAAGCAAATACGACTTCCCCAAGTTTCTTGACGTCTTAACGTTTTGGACAGCGCGCGCGAAACAGAAAAAAAAACTAACAAAATTTTCCCAGACAAAACCCACTCCGCTCTCTCCACCGACCGAATACGATCCCCCTCGCTGGGGACGACTACGATGTGCCCTTTCTGTAATCGACAGCTGGTTGCGAATCACTAGAATTCATGATACGGACAGGACTCCGCAGTAATTGTGTGATTTCTTATGACAGCTATAGCTGTCGCTATAAACTTTCAGGAATTATTCTGATTTCCTGACGGGATTAGTCAGTACCGTATGCGTAAAGGAAGATCCAGTTGCTTACAGTATTGCATTCACTCGTTCAAAAACTTCTCAAATAAGTGTATACCTGTGCTTCAAGCGATCTCAGTCGCGTTTCTTGACACTGAGGGGATGAGCGTTGAGCGGAGCGCTGAATCATCAATAAATAAATAGAAATATACTTACGCGTCCAAGTCTTTCCAAATATGCCAACGTCTCCTCGTACGGTGTAGCGTAGTGAGTACGAGAATTCGGCATTAACTGTCGGAACAGCGGTTCCGTGGTCATCGCAATCGGACCAACTTTCGCCATCCGATGTGTCCCTTCAAGGGTCGGGGAGGTTAAATAGAGAAGATATACGACTTTCGATCGAGAACGCGAGTAAAGAGGCGAAGAGTAAGTGAACATGGGGAATCGAAGCGCCTTGTTCCTAAGCAGTGAACGAAAAAGACGACGAAAACGTGAAAATGCGCGACAACATTTCTGCGGGCCAGCTGGTCGGATCGTTGCTCTCTAGTCGTCGCCGGGTGACACATTCGGTGCAGCCGACTGTCGCCAACAGACGGACGCACGTCTGCCAATTAGTCGGCTTTTTTCGCGGTGTTCCTAGCGAAAGGTCGCGTTCTCGTCGCGCCATTGCCGGTAAAGGAATGCGGCCGGGATAAATGAGTAGGCGGCAGGCGTTTTACGTGAATTCTCAAGGTTCTATCAGAGACCGGAAGCAAGTAGTATTCCAAATAAAGCCAAGAAAGCAACCGGAAAGAGCTTATGAACGGCTGGGAGAGCTACAAAACACTAAAGTAGGAAGAGAAAATGAAAAGAAAAAAATGAAAAAAAGGAAATGAAATGAGAAAATTCCATATAAAAATCCCGAAGAAGAGAGGATAAGAAAAAAGTCGAAGAAAAGCACCGAAAAAGGGATAATGTGGGGGACTTGAGCGCGTCACTAATAACAGAAATGAGGAAAAGAGCAGCAAGAAGGCAAGCGACACATGGGAGTAGAGAAGGAATTGAAAATAGTAGGAAATGAAGCAAAAGAGCAACAGTACTTCTGAAGATGTTAAAAGGATAAACGCCCACGATCCAAGCAATCCCTTCTTGTGATGCGGCATGCATTCTACTTCCATTCAGAATCACAGTGGCTTATTAAATGGGATGGTGTTGCCTATGCAATGATTTTCGAGAGCCAGGTGATGTACAAGTCAGCGTTCTTATTCTTCGGACTATATCTTTTACCAATTCACCGTTTCGGAGGGTAGAAAAGATTATTAGCGGTCATCCCATGTCAAACGTGCCGCCGGTTTTATTTGAATAAAACAAAGAGGAGAATAGATAGAAAAGTGATATTTTAGCTTTCAGGATGAGTAAATCCCTCCTTCACCAATGACCCGCTCCCAGTGCCCCGAGGGCCTTTGGACCTCTGGTACCTTCGATTTTTCAACAAGTGTGGGTAAATTGCTGTTATTGCCAATTTCTGCAAATGACAAAACATTGTAGCGTCTGCCGTCGTGATGAGTACTCTCAAACTGAATTAGAACAGGTTGTGAATCGCTGGTTGCTATGACGGTCGCGAATGGCTGCGATCTGAACTCAGGTCTCAGTATTGTTTGTGTCCCAGCACTGATCTACAATACAGTTACTCGGGGTCTGGCACTATGACGAGCAACGGTGGCCTTCTTGTAGTTGTGTGGTACCATCCATTTGTCGATCTGAATGCCGAGGAACAGGCAATATGCACCGACAGTGACGGATTTGTTCTCTGTATAGAGCCGCTTGAAAGCCACAGTGTGGGAATCCTTTGCTATGATGATCATCCACTTGCGCCCACGTAACTCTTGGAGAACTCGGAGCCATTCTCACTCCGGACAGCATGCATTCCCATACCAAAGATTGACGATTGTGAGTTCGGCTCGAGCGTCCGAGGAGCCCACCTCATATTTCATCTAGGGGCGGGGAACGTGTCGTTTTCACAGTTTGTGGAGTGACATCTCATGCTGGGAAGAACGATTACTGCTGGTAGCGTATTAGAATCCCGGGGGTACGAGCGTTCGTGGCTCTTATTAAGAAAATTGGGTACCCATGCGCACACCCCCTTGACCATCCTCAGTTTATCGGTCATAACACGTAGCAGTAATTGCAGCAGGGATGGCTACTCGTAGTCTCGCGGGGAAAACCTCGACAAGGGTCCAGGCTCTGTGATCAGATATTCAGTGCCTGACTTCATCCACCCGTTTTTCTTGTGCAGGATGAATATTATGGGACCATCCACGACAACAAATTTTTTTCCTTTCTTCCTTGTACGGGCTCCTGAACCAAATCTTCCACCGTGTGTTTCGAGAACACCCTTACACACAACTATGGTCCGGCGCCAGCGTCAAATCTTGACAGACGCCACTTTCCTCTATCATGACGGTCTGATTTTGAAAAAACGTGTTGGCCGTATTCACCACTCAGCGCTTCTTTGTCAATGTTTCTCGGCAACTTCTTTCTGGGGCATAGGGTTTCCGCCAAAATTTCACAGACACACAGATTAAGATAGCTTAGCCTTTTCAAATGGGTTATAGTTCAGCCCGCTGCTCTGATCTCCCTTTGCTTTTACTGCCCATTTCTCTATATAGTTAGCGGTCACGTCTGAATGGGATATCCTACCTAATTGCCCTAAATGGGATTCGACTCGGGTTTGAACTAGCATCCGCGCACGCTAGTAGGCGTCCCTTTCTGGTCATACACCAACACCTCCACCTCGTGAAAAGATGTGTTATCGACAAATAATGAACGTTGAGGGAAATTAATAGGAATTAAATAGGAAGGATGAAAAAATAGTTTACTAGTTCTTTACTGATCCTCCTATTCTCTTATCCTCTTTTTTCCCTTTTGGGATGGTTCATACGCACAAGGAGAAGAACCATTACTTTGCTGTGTTCAGAAGAAATGGTGACTTGAATGCGAAAAAGTAACGCAAAATGTCATGAAGGCTATGAAAAAAATAGAAGTCTGTGTAAGGTCCCAATAAAATGGACATTTTAAGGTCTCTTTGTGAAAATTGGTACTACTTGTGTATCGAGGAAACATTCCCGGACGAGGGAAGCTGTTCATCCACGCTGGAGCTATTTCCATCTCTTCAGCTTGAGGCAACGGCCCTCATCCCCTTGGTTTACAATGGCTACTGCACCTACTGGAATAGCGCGAGAAGCTGTAACTGGTAGTGATTAATAAACAGAAAAAATGAATTAAGGAGAAGGAAAAGGCAAAGAGAAAAAGGACTGAACTAATTGCGGAAGGAAGAAACGACTACAGCTGTTATTGTCCACAGAAGACTGAATGGATACTGGAAATGCAATACGATAGGTAACAGCAAGGGGCAGTAAACAACAATAACAGCAAGCATGCACACGATGAAAGTGTTGAATGATTGAGAAGATGATGGACGAGCCTGAGTCAACAAAACGACAAACATCATGCGCCCCGAGGGCGTATATCCAGCGCTATACAACCACCACCATCACAATTACATAGCCGTTGGGGGGATGATGGCGGAGATGTCTCGTCTCGTGCGATGCGATGGTGGCGCTGCCGAAGCTGCCACGAACATCTGGTGCTAAAAATGAAAATGTCCCGACGAAACGACGTAATTTCGACGGCGAATCGCCATACGCACGCAGTACACGGCTTTTCTAACTCCATACATACGGCCGTTTATGATAGATGGTTGTAAGGTTGTTGCAGTCATGCCAGCACTCGGACACTAGTCATCATGCGGGGTTCTTTCGTTGGCCGATGAACAACTACGCCTGGGAATCGTTCCAGCAAAAATGACCCAGCCAAGTAGAATTGGCCGATCGTGACAACGAATCGATGAAGGTGATCATTCATGTGGCTTTCTGTTGTCATTCTTCCATCGTCCAGTCATCATTTTATGATGGCAGTGAGGTCGTTAAAGCATTGCTGGAGAGACCTTATGGCAGCGCCTCTAAATGATAGCGTTCTTTTGTTGAGAAAATATCCGAGCCTGCATGAAAATTTTGCACGTGGATTCGCTGGTACTCTTCAAAATGTGGAAGTTGTCCCACGGCAAAACACTGGTCTGTGGGAAGTTCTCTGATGCTTAACCACTCCTCCTGTAGGAACATTGTCGTCACCATCTCTTCTTTGAGGAAAGCTACGGCGATGGCCACCGTATTTGAGACACATCCACGCCTTTTTATTTCGTCGTTCGGGATCGCAGATATCGTAGTGAGAACCCATAGCGATTTCTTCTGCACTTTTGCGAGGCGGCAGTCGATGTACCTGCCAATTTCGTTCTCCTAAGCGAGTCTGTTACCAACTAGCAGACATCGGAGGGATGAAGGGCCCTGACTATGACGCCATCCGACCTCGGAGTTGGTCACAAACCGTGCGCATTGTAAACGAGACCTCCTGTAACAAAGCCAGCTCTGCCT